TCGCATAATGTAAACAACAACAACAAGACAAGGGAACTGTGCTCCTAATCTAACTAGCTAATGGGCTCACATAGTTGTTCGATAGTTTTGTTAAAAAAAAAAAAAAACTAAGAGCTTTTCTAATTAAAATAATTTGAATTTATACGAATTCTATCAAGTTTAATGATTGCCGATTCCGTACTTCTTGTGGAAGAGACACAGTATTCACTTATAAACTACTTTCGTTTAAGTTTGAAATAATTATAAGCATTCATCTGATGGATTGGTCTTTAATTTAAAAGCTTCTTTCGGCCGTCCAGCGGCAAATAAATAAAAATGATGGTATTATCGCTTGTGCAGAATTTTTAAAAGAAGGTTAAATTAACCCCAAAGCAAGTAAGAAGAAAGAAGAAAATGCTTCAAAGTAATTAAACGGAAATGCAGGTATGCCACAAAGATTCCATTTTTATATGAAGTACATGCATGGATGCATGCATGCATGCATAAGTTCGTGCATATCATCATGCATACACGTAGTAATTATTCGCATTAAACATTCACCCTTATTGGTAAATGAAAGCGATTTTTATTATTTTTATAGGAGTGGTGTGGTGTGTATACGTGCATAATACAATAAAGAAGAAGAAAACAAAAAACAAAAACTAATTTGATGTTGCCTACTTTTAGGCGAGCATTATTGTGTATAGCACTATCGTAAAATCAAAAATGAAACGATATAAAATGGAAAGGCAATAATTTAATGTAATTGCATTTCAAGGCCGATGAAAATATTTCTTTTAATATTTTAAAGGAAACAACTATGATTGTAAGATTGACGTGTTGGATCGATCGCAATATTTTGATAATGGTTGCTGCTGCATTATCTACTACAATTATATATGTCTCTGCAAACATATATAATTGCGATCGATTTTTCATATTTAGCTTTGTGCCCTTGAGAAGAAAATACATGTTATTTTCTTATTGCGCATCGATAGCAGAAAGAAGTACGCATTGTAGTAAACTCTAAACTCTATTCGTGTTCAACGTGAGTTTCTCAATGGATTCTGGAAATTTTCATTTTGCACGTATTCATTATACATTTTGGTAAGCACCTATCAAGTATATGCAAAAGCATAGACGACGGTTTGCTCTCCAAAAATACTTATCACACTTTTTCGTAAACACTTGTATGGATATATTATAATGGAGGTAATGCAATTTATTTAATTAAAATATTTTTGTTTTTGTCTCACCACTTTTCATCTCAACTTTTTTCTCAGTTTGGCTTCGGTTATTCGTTTGTATATTTTATTTCAAATTTTTTTCGCATATATCTTGTATTTCCCTCAAACCTCTAAATGGGTCCGATAAATATGCATATGTGTTACATTAATATGAACTGCAGATAGTAAAAATTAATATATGAGAGAATTGCTTGAAGAAAGATTTTGTTATAAAAATTATTTTTGTTACTTTACCTGTGAGTCGTTCGTTTTTCTGGCTGAATCGATTGAACAAGAAAAGAAAATAGTTCTACAAAATATTAAAGATTCTAAAGATTTTTTTTTTGGTGTCGGTCATAATAACCCATAATGAGTGTGTATTTTTCATCTTTGAATTCCGACGGAAATTACAGAACAAAAGAACTGAAGACAAGAGAAATTATATTTGACTCTGAGGAAAGGGATTCTCATAGTATTTATCAGATAAATTTTGTTTAATTTAAGAAAAATTCGTTCGCTATAAGCAAAAGTTTTTTTTAAATCCTTTTAAAGTCATACAGTATAGTACAAAGAGATGTTGTGTTCTTCACTTTCGAGCAAAATAAAAATATTTCGTTTTCATACGACGAGAAGAACACTGGTTGCGTTGTTGATAATAAGGCACGGATCTGCTAAGAAAACGTTATTAATCCCCTTTACTTTCTCTTTTCTATTGTCATATAAGATATATTCATACACGCCCACATACGAGAATATATCTCAGTAATGTAAGCTTTTGTTTATCGGAAACTTTACCAATGTATGTGCCACCGTTAGGTAAAGTAAACCAATATGAAACTAAAATATGCTATAAATGTTGTTCTATCGAGACAGATCTTAGCTTGTCTACTTCTAACTCAGTGCGACAATTAATAAACGATTATGTAAGCTGTAATTTAAGTAAACTTTAATTTTGTTCGGAGGTCGTCTTCATACCTGTTGAAAAGCTTATCCGTAATGTCTACAAAGGTTTTTCAATTCTTCTTGCGTTATTGTATGAACTGGGTCTTCTCTCTAATCTCGAAAAGGTACACTAAATTTTAGACGGAATTCTAACATAGATTTTAAGTTATAAAGTTTAAGCAATAATTTTTATGAACGCTTGCGTGTCTATGTATAGTCTATGATTTACAAACAAGCTCTTGATTGTTACTTATTCTAAAGACGTGACTTTGTAAACAGATAAAAAATTCGAACTTCAACTTTGCTTCAGTGTGTACTTATTCGGAAAATATTCCAGCATTTCATGGTAAATAGTGAACATATTCTCCTTTGATATATTTAGGATACCTGGTCGACGTTTAGCTGGCAAAGACATAGCACTTGCCCACTAGTCTTGTCTAGTACCCACTAGACTGCGAACGATCCGTATGTCTTTTCCCACTTCTTTTTAGCCGCCACCGTGTTACCCATATAGTAGATGTCTCCTGACTGATTAACCATTTATTAGAGAATATTTTGCCCCAAGACCCCAACATAGCTTTAAGTTCATTGCTACGTACCACTGGTTATTAGATTTAGCCTTAGTTTATGTTAGAAGCATAGAGCGACTTGGAAAAAGAAGTATTGCTGCAGTCGGAGGTACAACAGCTAACTTCGTATGTAATTAATAAAACGACTGGCAATCGTATTTTGCTTCGACGGACGGTTAGGTGGCTAAGGCGTTCGATGTTTCTTGTTCTTCTAAATCATAAAAGCAACAACAATTTATCATCTATGCATAAAAATGGGGCAAGGTTCATGTGATAGTCAAACGCCAGCCAAGGTGGCCGACACACCAACCGCTTCCATTTCCCATTATTCTTATTGCTCTTGTATACATTTCTTAATTCAATGGTTGGACTTGGACTTAATACTGAATAAATTTCAATATCAACTCGAAATCCGATAGCTGGAGCGGTAATCGTACGGGCTGCCGATAAGAACCAAAGAGAAGTAATAGCAATAGAGAAGGCACTCGACGGCATCTTGATTTGAGAAAAAATTATTAATAGCAAAATTTAATCAATGAAAATAAATTCAGGGTAACGGTAAATAAATGAGATTTAGACTCTGTCAGCTTGTTAAAAAAAATAAATAAATTAAAGATATTAACCTTCATAATATAAGAACCATCGCAGAAGAGATCAGGAAAGCCTTATTGAAAGTTCTTATTGAATTTGACAAGCGTCAGTGAATTTGTAATGTAACCAAACGTTATCCATTTCAACTTCGCTTGCGAAGACAACGGTTTTATGCCTAAAATGAAATTCCTTTACACTAAGATCTATAGTTCTTTTCAACTTTGTGAATGTGTTTGTAAATTTCTACAAAAGAATTTATTATTTATTCAACGCCAAGCAGTTTATAAAACAATAATTCTCTTTGCTTCCTTTCACTATACTCTTCTTTATCGCTTCTGGTATTCACCGTAAAACAATTGACGGCCATTCCGCAGAATTCCTTTGCAAGTTCCGCGAAATGCTCTAATACATAATATAAACTCTATTATATAATATAACAAAGTTTCGTGCAATCCGAAAAGGCGAATATTCAATCATAGTCCCTGGAAATTCATAAGAAAATTGTTATGCAAAGTTTTTATTCAGGGTACTTAGGACTATGACACACAGTCACACTAACCTAATTTGCTATCATGCGGATCTAATTAAGATAAAATCATATTTTGAAAAGTCAAGCAATTTTTAGAATTTTCTAAATGGCACTAGCAAAGTGAGACACTTCCTTCCCAATGATATCGTCCTTTGTTGACCAAGACTGATTCCCTCAGTTCCTTCTGTTATTTCTAATGGTATAAGATAATTGTGCGGATGTATACAGCATCCCAGAAGGGATTGAGATACACGCACTTTTGATTATACCGATTAATTCAGAATTCCCTTTCTGAAACGATCTAAGCTTGTACGTCCCTCTGTCCGCCTGATCTTTCTTTTGTATTCAACTTGCACATCAATATGTTTTGGCCCAAGGAAGAACGCAATTGAAAATGGTTCGAATCGAACCACTATTTCGACCACTTTCCCTATAATAACAATATATCAAGTACTCCAACATTTTTTCTTGTTTTTTTGCTAAATTGTTCCAATGGAACCAACCGTCCATAAGTTTTTCATTGGTTCCCGGCAAGGGCTGTTTTTTTATTTTTCCCTCATTTACGTATACTTGAAAATCTTCAAAACTCCCCCTCCATCCATATAGTCTAGATGATATTCTACGCTGTGCCTTGAAAACTTAAATCGATGATTTTCCTATGGCTACTCCAACTGCAATCTATACTTTATGGTGTCTTTCTATCTTAATGGAAGAAAAGTCACATTATTCATAATACTGTTAATAAAACCGTTATTGGGAATAATACAAACACAGCTTTACTCACCGCGCCATCCAATCAAATGATATGAGTATCAAAAGCAATTCCGAGGATTAAAAAGGTAATACCAGCAAGCTTCTCAATCTTGCCCTGTTCTTGACAGACGAACAAACTACCTATTTTTTGGCTTATCAACGCAAAAATTACCAGAAAACACGGAAACTTATCGTATATAGAGCAGATATTTACTGGAAAAACGATTTGAAATAAATAAGAGGCGAAAGATTATTAAGAGATATTGAATTGAGACTTAATCCCGATATATTGCAAGAATCATGTTTCTTTTGGTTAATTCACTTGTTATGGAAAAAAAAATATTCTTTAAGGCGTATGAATGGGCAAAAATTTATTTATTAATTTTCTGTTTTTAATTTTTCCATCAACAGGGTCGATGTAATCGTGATAAACCGCCATGCAAATATTTTCATCCACCTCAACATTTAAAAGATCAATTATTGATAAATGGACGCAATCATCTTGCCTTGAAAAATGCATTAATGCAACAAATGGGAATCGCATCTGGGCAGCCAGTTCTAGCGGGTCAAGTGCCAACGGTGGTAAGTCTGTATTCAATATTATTAAGAAAACATAACAAATCATTCAACTATGTATTTAAAATTCTTTTTAAAAGGCAGAAATAAAAAATCATATATATATATATATTTAGTTGCCCTAACATGTTAAGGAATATTCTTTTTATTTTTTAACTTTTTTCTTTTTTTTGTAATATTTAATAGTTGTTAATATTTCTGTTTTTTTTTTTTAAAGCAGTCACACTTAGAGGTCATATATAATATTATGAAAAAAACAAAACAAAGAAAAAAAAAAAAAACAAAAAACATTTAAAGTTGAAGTTGCTTTGCAAAAAAGAATTAAAAATGAATATTCATGAAACAATCAGATAACCGCAACTGCCTAGATATGGTATATATTATATTCTATATGTAATGAAAGCAACGGCAACAGCACTCATATTATTCTGTTTAAGATGCAGCCTTACCGCCCCTCTCGCCCGCAAACATATACCGTACCGTATTTTCACACCACAGTTGATCCGTAAATGTAATTGACTTACCACAGAAAAAGAAAGAAAAGGAAAATAAAATATAGTCTGAATAAAATTTAAATTTAAACTGTGAAGAAATCCTCTTCTGACAGAATACTGGATTACACGAGAGTGCGCTAAGTTTATTAAGTTGTTCGCTCTAAACTCGCGCTTCCCGAATATATTCGAATTTTCAGATTGTATAGGGGAATTCAACGAAACATCGAACCTTTCTTTTCCGAAGACCTTGCTTCACCTCTACCCCATTTGTATGAAAGAAATTAGATGAACTTATTCAACTTCGTGAAGGTATTAATTACTATTGTGGAGTCGTTTTGGGGGCTCATGGGGGAATCATAGATTTCTATATAAAATTGTTTGGCCTTTTCTTTGCCCTTCCATGGGAAGAAGACACCTTACCACCTCAATAAGGTTTTTATTCTCTAAGTCCATGTATTTTAAAAGTTGCGAGAAGATCAAACGGACAACCTTAGTGTTATTCCTAATTAAGTCAATTTGGAACGTAGCAAAAGTCAAGAGTGCATTCCCTCATGCATGATGCGTTGCTCGGAAGCGAAAAACCAAAAATTGGAAGCAGCTTAAGGCAGATTTTCAAATGATTTCGAATATAGAGTGCATTCATAGTTCGTTCTGCGCTACATTTTGCATTTATCATATTTTGTAATTGTTTCATTTTATAGGCGGTATGTGGCATCTGCATTATAGTATTTCATTCATGTTGCTAAAAAGAATAAAAACAAAAAAAAAAAAAAAAACAGGGAGAAAAAGAAAACGAAAAACGAAAAACGAAAAACTAAAACTTAAAACTTAAAACAGACAAAAAGATAAACCTTATGAATTAATAGAAGGAGTCCATTACCAAACAAATAACGCATACATAAGCCAAATTTTCGTGGTCTGTTACTTACATATTTAATGGAATTAAATTCAAATTTATATGGAAAACGTATTAATGCACTAACTATGTACCACAGCTAATAATGAAAAAACTTTTTAGATAAAAAAAATGTACAATAATTTTAAGCGAAGCAATGAAACAAAGTTTAACTTTCTTTTTCATCTGTTTGCATCGGAGAGCATCTGCCCTCCATCCAAGTTAGTGGTGACAGAAAGCAGTCATCTAATGTTCATTACTTTCAAACATAATTACTTTGTCTTGTCTTCTGGCTTATGCTGAGCGCTTTACTTTCGAAGCATTTTAGGCAACAATTAATATTCACAGTTTCTGCTGCTGCTGCTGCTGTTGTTAAAAGCGGTACGATGTACCTAATACATTATATACTACATATAATGGTTATATGACAGCATTATCTATTTATTGTGGAACTGATTTGGTTTAACTAAAACTATTTTCTCCATCTAAGTATTAGCTGCTGCGGCGGACGCTGCTTGATTTTAGTGATCGAACCAGAAACAATATGTTCAACGTAGTATGCTCGCTCAGCTTACTCGCCGTCGCGAATTCCTTAAGCTGCAAATGGAAATAGTTCTAGAAATATATATTACATGTGCGATGCTGTTCTTATGAATTTGCAAAAAAAAAAGAAAAACTTTCGACTATTCGATGATTAATTTGCATCGTAAATAATCATTTTTTGAATTTCGAATTCTCAAGACAACATGGCATTTAGCAAGTTCGGAGCATGACATAAAGATGTAGAATGACTGATGAAAAATTCAATACCAAGGTTGAAATTAAAATTTAAGGAATTGTTGTTATAGTGTTTTACATGAGCACAAACAAGAGCTGCGTCACTAAAACATCGGTCACAAAGTTATAAAGTTTAGCTTACAAAAAGCAGTTCTTTTCGCCTTAAACTGACTTTCAATTGGCGGCCTTTACTTTCCTTTATTAGAATTTCAAAAGTAGAATCGCTTGTGGCATGCCAGTTGCTAAGATATATAGAATTCCTTTCTGGCGTTTGCTGTCGGCATTAGAACCATGTTAGGTTTTCATTAAAATTCGCATGTCCGCTTCGCTCAACATACGTTAATGCTGTTAATACAGAACTTTTTGGCTTTCACCGAGACTTGGCTAAAACTATATTTTTATTCGTTAAAGATAAGCCCGACCAAATGGGAGGATTTGTTGTAATTGCCATAACTTCTGCACTTCTATCACAACCGCTTCAACTCCCGTCTCCCAAGGACATTGAATTTCTAGCTGTACTTGTGATAGTTGGTAACAAACAAAACTTAATATTCATCTACTCATCTTTTCCTTCTAACTAAAAGTATCGATGTAATTATAGCAGTAAATGAATTTTATTTTCTCGCAAAGTGTGTTTAGGCTTAGTGACGATAATGGATGTACGAAAGGGCATATATATTCATAAATAGCGTTGCAGATTTAGGCCTCCAAAAATATAATAACACTCCAAATTGTCATTCTCGAATTTCGGACCTTATATATAATACGTCTAATAGGTGCTATAATGTTCATTCAGCTGGAGAACCCTTACTATCTTACGTCAATACGTAGAATCTCTTTCGATTCTTCCAACCTTTCGCAGTCTTCAATGTCAATTATCCTTCTAGAGTATGCGTTTAGCAAACCTAATACACCAAAATTAGAAAATTTCCTAGCAATCATCAGCTTAGATTCGTCAACGAAACGCATCGAGATTCTTCTATTCTCGTTTCACGATATAGTGAAAAAATATTTCCATCAATTGCCATTATACGACCTTGTTATCGGAAATCATGTCTATCGTGGTTCAATAATAAATTAACATGACTCTGACCAAGCCTATCCATATGAATTAACAGATGCAATCGTAATCCCATCGTAAGCGAATTCCTTTCCCATTTAATACAATATGCTCAGATCTCAGTGTTCCAATTCAATATCCAGCTCTAACATCTCAACAAATTTAATAGCAAGATCTTATCTCTGATTATCTTGATAATCTCTAGGGATTTCCCTCTAAGACAAGATTGATAGGACATAGGATATAAGATTTGGTCATAGCTTTAGTAAGTGTTCAGTCGGTATAGCCATAACACTTAGCCACTAGGTTGCGCCTATCCTTCTCCTCGCTTCCTCACTTCGTTCTCCACGATATTACGCGCATAGAGAATACCCGCTAAGTGAAAGAAAAGATGCTAACCAATATCCTTATCCTATCCTCATTCATTTCTATAATTAAGAGGAAAATATGTACGATATGGGGTCTGGGTGCCCAAATGCCCTTGCCAGTTTGCTAGCCTACGTTGCATACATGTTATTAGAACTACTTTGGTTCCTCAAATTATCAGATTACAAAGTTATTGTTTGCAGATTCAAAGCTCAGTGCGGTAGAGCTTTGGTCGTAGCTGTAGCGAGTGCTCAGTAGGTAAAGGCATATACTTATGGTCTTGGCTCACATTAGGCAATGGCCATCGTTCCCGTATTTCTTTCTTTCTTTCTTTTTCCTCACTTCTTCCTGATCATCAATTTTCTAAAGTTCAATTTTCTTAACGCCTCTATTGCAAAAGGAAGGAAATGGTGTGGAAGGAATTAGTGTGGGACAAAGACAAAAGAACAACTTTATCCTCCCATGATCTTTATACAGAGTTCTTTTTATTTTTACTGTACATTTTTGTTGGGTTTAACATTAGTTTCCCAATAATCTCTATAAAGGGTTTTGTAAGATTATTTCTTATCGAACTAACCTCGTCGCCATTCACTGCCGCATATTCAAAATCAATTTTGTCTAAATTTAAAAAATCCCTCAGTTGTTGTCATTAATTCTCATGGTTTGGTATTATTGTTGAAACACATTATTAATATTCAATGACGCCGAGGGCATAACCTGCGTAGCAAACATTTAATTGCTTTTATTTTTTTACTGCGTTGATAAAAATATTCTATATTGCGCTCTTTCTTCTCCCCTTTTTTCGTTATTTGCCCAGTCACGCTGGGGATGGTCCCCATGTACATGTAGTCATAGTGATTAGTAGGAGAAAAAAAAAGCAGATAGCGTTTGTTTATTTGAAAGTGGCCGTATCAGAAAGGGCAGGAAGAGAGTGTTCCAAAAGCGGACACATAAAATGGATCCGATTTTTCGATGATATTGTAACGAATATAACGATTTTCAAGCTCAATCGTGAAGTGGTTTAAATGTGTGTGTAAAATTTGTTCTTTTTCTGATATTCGACAAATTCGGATAATAAATAACCAATATGTTCGAATGTAGCTTCCAAATGTTACGAGGGCAACGCAAACTATTCAATTGTTCAATTTACGGCACTATTATAACGACTATAAAGGGACGATTGCGAAAATGAAGTTTCTGTTCCGGTCTGAAGAAACAACTGAGTCAAGCTAGATAACGAAGACTCAAGAAAAGTAACTGCAAAGTCTTCGAGCTTTTAATTGCAAAGCTTCTTCTTTTGACATGAACTTTCTTTACTTATGACTTTCATTCTTTTTCCATGCTTTTTCAACTTTTTCAACCATTATCAGGATTAGTAAAAATCTCATTTATATTCTTCTTTACTTTGAAACGAATTTCCCTCCTTTGGCACTTATAATCGCTAAAAGCCTTTGTCTTGAAAGGGATATTTAAGTCCTCAAAAAGTTTTTGACAAATTAAAGAATGTATAATTGGCCAAAGGCGAATACTAAGTATCCTACATGACGCCTTCAATTATTCGATTACATTTATTATACAATATCGAAAATTTCATCTTGTTGGCCTACAAAGGGCTACCTTTAGTGAAAGTACTTACGTAAAGACGGGTTCGCAGGGTAGACCTGTTTAGGATAAAGTTTTGTAATAAAGACTGGATTTTGTTGCCATAGAAAAGATTACATTAGGTTTTATGTAGGGATTGCCGTAAAATTGATTCGATCCATATCCAGTAGCTTCAGGCTATGAAGTTTATCAAAATATCTTAAAATCCGAACTACTAAAGAGATATGAATACATATTAGAGAAGCAGACGGACACGGAAAATCATTCTAAATCACTTGATGCATACAATCAAACGAATTTATCCCCACTCTTTGTAGATATTTCATCTCAATAAGCTTGGCGATCCGTACACGAAGTGATCTTTCAAACAAAAAAAAACAAAAAAAAAAAATATTCCATTATGCATACAAAAAGCTTTCAAAAGAGGAATCTTCATTACCACCACTCCTTCATCCATTAGTTGATATTGTTTTGGAAGTCATTTTATTTACTTATACTTCATCATCGTGTCTTTGAACAGGCGGCAAACCCCTACTTGACTGGTATACCGGCCAACACATACAGTCCATATTTTGCACCTGGACATTTAGTGCCTGCCTTATTGGGTCCTGATCCTGCTGCTGTGGCCTCGCAATTAGGACCAGTAGTACCGCAAGCTGTCCAAGTTACCCAACAAAAATTACCGCGTTCCGATAGATTAGAGGTGAGTTCACAATTTGCATGTTACGGATACACACCTACTTTCTAATGTATTTTCTTCATTTAAACTTAACTTGAAAAGAATGTCTCTCAATAAAAAGCAAACTTTTTTTTAAAAGTAAAAACAAAAAAAAAAAAAAAACATATTGAGAATAATGCATGTTTCTGCAATAATCAACTTTGAAATTTTATGGTTTTCTGATATTATTTGATACTTTATTGTGTATGTATTTTTTTTTTTTTTTCTGTTATTTTGTTAATTACAGTTTTCGTTCATTAATATAAGAATGTTAAGCTTTTATAAATAAAGACGATAATGATAATAACAATTAATATTGATTTTGATTATATTTTAACAAAAACAAAATATATAAGTATTTTACTAAAAAGAAAATGGAACAATGATGTTTTCCTTTGTTGAAGAGTGTGCTTTTCATTTTTTAATCTTTAATAAGATACACATTCATATTTTCTTAAAATATTTTCCAAAAAAAAGTTTTTTCATTTCTTTCTTTTTTTTCATGTTTTTTTTTTTTTTTTTTTTTTTCTTCAAATATAAAGCGAGTTTTAGTTAAACAAATCCTTAACAATAATACAAACGAATTGGATTCTCTTCCTTTCCCGAATATTATCGAATATGTAGCATATGGAATAGATATTAAATAATAATTTTTATAAAAATATTTTATTAGATTATTATTCGCTCAATTATTTATTTTTATTGCATATGTTTTTTGATTTTTCAAAATTTTTAAGGAATACCTTAACATTTTATATTAATGCCCCCCTTTCGCTCTATTGTCGCCTTATTTCAATTAATGCATCCTTTTTTTAATTGAGTCGTCTCCGATAGATGATAATTCTTCGATTTATTCTGCGTATGATTTGTGATACAAAACCAGGGAGCAAAAGGAAAAGGAAAATTTAACGAAAGTAAAATGTATAGCAATATAATATCGAAACTTTTGCAAAGCTTTTTCCAATTGTCAACTCGAGAGAACGAGAGAACATATATGTGGCTATCTATTTTGATTTTGTTTTCTAATAAATGTCGTTAACGATCTGGCTTCTTTTTTCTTTTTCTTTCTTTCTTATATATTCACGAGTGGTAGTAATCGGTTCAATTAGAAAATAGCTCCGTAGTAGATTTTAATCAATTAAAAAAATTGAAAAAGACGTTACAGACGGGCAGGACTGACTGGGAGTAGATTTTCCACACTAATTCGCCTAAAAGGATTTTCATTATAATATATCATGCTGCCATTTTATCAGCAAACGCTCCAAAATGTGCACCGACACTATTCAAATGCAGAAAATTTTAAGCTTCTTATCCAAACCACAAAATTTTTCCCATACAAAGACTTACTTTTTGTTTATTTTTATCTACAAAATATAGATTTAAAGGCTGCAGGATAGCTTAGATTATACGCTTGCCTTTATTGAAAACTAGCCTACTTGAGATTTGATTATTGTGTTCTTAATGGCGATAATTTGCCTTCTCGGCTTTAAATGCGATCTGCTATAGACATCATGGGCCGAAGGGGACCAATACGTAGGACAGGTACAGAAAGGCCCAGGGGCACAGGAGATGCCCTTTCCGTAAATTAGGTTATATCTGTCCGTGTGTTCGTTAAAGGGTAAGTACGTACTGTTTTTTCAATTGCAACAGTCTCAGAAGTGTCAGTGAGCTGTAAACATAGAACTCCTCCCATATCAGATTAACTAGATAGTTCACCGAAGGCATCGGTCTCTTATTCCTCTAATTCTCCTCAAGTGCCACTTTCCAGTTGTCCTAAAATTTAATGCAGATAAGAGTTTTCTAAAGACAGACATGAAGTATCTTAACAGTGTCCTCATATAAAAGTGGTAAGAACAATCGTCTTGCAAAAGATGCGACCAAGCACACTAAATTTATATGAGAACTATCAGAGACAATGGTTTTCTTTGATTAAGCTTCGACTGCAACCTCTCTACCTCATGGTATGGTATTGTCTTACCTGGCTACCAGGCTTTTGGCATCAGGATTTTTACTTGCCTCGGGATTTCATAGTGCAATATTTGCTCCGGAGAAGGGCTTTCATTGTGGCCCATGGAGCGACCAGAAAACTGTTAGAGACAATAGCTTGATTAAGCTTCGACTACCTCTCCTGATCGGGTATTTTCTTACCTGGCTACCACGTTTTTGGCATTAGGATTTTTGTTTATCTTGGGATCTCATAGTGCAATCTTTGCTCCGAAAAAGAGCTTTCATTGTGGCTCAAGTTATTCCACAATTTCAAAGTTTTTGCGACCTTGAGTGCAGGGGTGCTTTCCTGTCGAGAAGTAATTAATTAAATGAATTAAAAAAGATTTTCTTTTTGATACTACTATGGTTAGGCTGTCGAGAGTTTGCAAAGCTATCTTTACTTTTGCAGCTGCGATCATCCTCCAATTAAATATTAGGTAAATAAGTTATGAGCTTCAGGCCATAGTTCTCAAATATAGGCCTCGCTTTGCTTATTGCAAACAAAGACAAACAACTGAGTTAACTCACCTATCAGGCTTTTCGCGTTTGTAGCACGAGTTTTAGAAGTTTCAGTGGCAATCTTTCCGCCGAAAGCGGGCCTCCATAGTCGCTACTGATTATGATGCGCCAATTGCAAGTAAAATACTTATGAGCGCAAGCGTAAACAAAATTGCATTGTAAACAAAAAATATAATTAATTCGAGTTTTATGTTTTGTTTTGTTTTGTTACATGTTTCTGTTTAAATTTACTAAAGATCGAAAGCAAAAACACTAACAATAAATTTGAAAAACGATATGAGTAATCAAATGTAAACCGACCGATGATTACTGCTATAAGTTGTTGTTACAAATTTAAATATTTAAAATTGTTTTTTTTTTTTTTTTCAATAATTTTGTTTTGAAAATATTCGTAATCACATGGCATGGAAAAGTTTTGCATTTGTACTTTTATAAATGTATGTATGTACGTGCAAATATTTGCGATAATGTCAATGAGCTTAACTAATACCGCAAGAATCAATAGAATTTATTTATTACTCAAAATAGAATACAATCCGAATAAATATTTTTTATAAAACAACTTTTTCTTCTCTGTTTATTTTCTTCTTTGTTCGTTGTGTTTTTCTTTATCACAAAACCGACAACAATAACTAAATTTAAAAACAAATTTTAAAATATATTTAAAAAAAAAAAAATTCCTAATGGACGAATTAAATGTTATATCATTGTTTTCCTCTGTATCCATAAATGAAAAACAACCACTGATAAATTGAATAAAATTTAATTAAAAACCAACAAACAACATAAATACTGACTTCGACTGCCACAAATCGCCAACACCTACTTATGCATGTATTTATATACATATATAATACATACATACATATATTGATGTATATATATATATATATATATATATATATATATATATATATA